TGGCGACCAAAACTGAATGCAGTATTCCAAGTGTGGCCTTACAAGGCATTATAAAGTGGTATTAATACTTCATGTGATCTTGATTCTATGATCTTGATTCTATATTCTGCCATTCTGATACAGCTCAGGATTGGGAATAAATAAAGGTCATCCCTAATAATTGGAATAGAAATTTGCTCATGCATTTTTTCCCATTTAGTTCCATGTAATTCATAACATTTTGGGGAAGTATTGAGCCTTTCTTGACTGTGAACAGAACCAGAATATGAATGAAATATAAGATAATTCAAAATTTGTCATACAGATTGGATCTTAAATTCTTGTTGAAGATTGAAAACATGAAAGAACCTCAACACACACCAAATTATTTTACTGAATATAAATATAGTTCTCATTATTTGTCTTTTTTTATAGCTAATATATGGCTCTCCTCCAGAAATCAGTTCAAAGGAACAGGTTGCTTTGTACCATCAGATGTTTCCAGATAGTGTCTATCAATACAATGGCATTTTTCAATTACTGCTGTATTTCAGATGGATATGGATTGGAATATTGACTGTGAATAATGACAATGGTGAAAAATTTGTTCAGCACATGGTTTCCATGTTTGCTCAGAGAAGCGTCTGCTCAGCCTTCATTGAAAGATTTCCCACAATGACTTATACAAATAATGTTTTTGACTTGGTGGAAATGGGCTTTAAAATGTACAAAGTGATGATGAGAAGTACTGCAAATGCAGTGATAATTCACGGTGAAATTGATAACATGATTACTCTGAGACTTCTATCCAACGGTCTGAACTCTGAAGAGGTCCCTTTACAGACACAAAGTAAAGTCTGGATTATGACTGCGCAGATAGAATTCACATCACTTCCCTTTCAGAGAAAGGAGAACATAGACTTCCTCCATGGTGCTCTGTCTTTTGTAATTCACAAAAAAGAGGTGTTGGGATTCCACAATTATATCAATACAAGAAATCCTATTTTGGAAAAAGAAAGTAGCTTGATGAGGCTCTTCTGGAGAAATGCCTTTCAGTGTTCTTTCTCAAACTCCATAATTGATGAATATGGTGGGATTCCCTGCACCGGAGAGGAGAAACTGGAGACTCTTCCTACATCTATATTAGAATTGGACATGACTGGTCAAAGCTATAGCATCTATAATGCAGTCCATGTGGTGGCACATGCTTTGCATGAGTTCCATGCATCCAAAATGAAGTACAAAGCAGGACAAAATAAAGACCATGAGAACTTTCTGAGTCAACAGCTGTGGAAGGTAAGGTGCCAAGCAAACAATTACAGAAGGAATAACATATCTAGATTGACAAAAAAGCCAAACCCTGAGTAGGTTCTAAAAGTCATATGGTGTGGTTTTGTTAAACTTTATTTTCTCTTTCATTCTTTTCTGGTAGCCCAGGGGTTGGCAACCCCCAGCTCTGAAGCTGCATGTGGCTCTTTCATCCCTCTGCTGAAGCTCCATGTTGCCAGTCAGAGCCACAATTTTGAGAGGAGCTTCTGGTTGTGGGGGGAAGCACAGCACACCAGGAGGAGACTCTATGGCAAGGGACAGGTTTTCGGTCAGTTCCACAATTGATAAGGCTTTTGGTTAGGACAGGTAGAGGAAAAAGGATCCTGTGCTAGGAGGAGACTCTATGTTGTGGGACTTCCGGTCAGTTCCAGAATTGAACGGGGGGCTTCTGGTTAGGACCTTTGTGGCTCTTTGAGTGTTTAAGGTTGCTGACCCCTGTGGTAGCCCATATACTATAATTTCCATTTAAAATTAGCTTTCTCAAAAATGCTTAGGAAAAATGTCTACAAATATATAATGGTGTTGCTTTGATACTACTTGATTATTCTTGGAGCCTTACATTGTTCTGTTCGGTGTTCACTGCAGCTCCATATTGCCAGAGATTTCTCAGTCCCCATTATTTTAAAATTGTTTGAGTGAACATTCATGAAGTTAGTTGAACAATGAGGTATTTAAGTACATATTTTTACCTTCGTTTGCTTTGTTTTGTTTTGAGAAATTGTGTAGCATCTCCTCACAATTTTGATGTTAATAATAATTTATGCCCTCTGTCATCTTTACATTTTTCAGGCTATGTGAATTCATTTTCATTTTTAACTTTCTGATATTTAGAAAGGTGTTTTATATTTATTATTTCAATTTGTTTCCTCTTTCCAATTCAGCTCAACTTTTTTGTGAGAAATGTTTCCTTTAACAATACTGTTCGGCAGAAGATTTCCTTCAATCCAAATGGAGAATTAGAGACTGGCTTTGATATAATGAATTGGATCACATTTCCTAATCTGTCTTTTCATAGAGTCAGAGTGGGCAGGATAGATCCAATGGCTCCCCAAGAAAAAGCATTTACCATTGATGAGGATGATATTGTGTGGCCTAGGAGATTTAATCAGGTATGGTCTAGTTATATTCTGGTTTGTGGATAATCCTCTTTTCACCATTCAAATCCAAAATGCCACACAGCAATTAGTTTCAGATCCAAAGCTCTTCATATTCTCCAATGTGCCATAACAATAACAAAGAAGTTGTACAACTGAAAGATCCAAATCAATGCTCCGTAAAGGGAAAATTATGCTAGATGGTAGTACAAGAAAAAGTACACTACAGAGAGTAAATACTGTTATAGCCGAGCAAAACTAAAATGAAATATATACCAGAGCCACTGAATGCATTCTTCTCTCTTGTTATTAAAGCAAAAAGTGGAGCACAGTGATTCATGTGTCTGTGGAGATTCTCAGTCATCCTGATCATGGTTGTCCCAAAGATGCTTTTCCAAGAGGCAACTGGACTTTCTGATTTTTTCTTTGAAGACATTTCGCTTTTCATCCAAGAGCTGAAGAAGCTTCTTGGATGAGAAGTGAAACATCGTCAAGGAAAAACCAGAAAGTCCAGTTGCCTCTTGAAAAAGCACCTTTGGGAGTGACTCCTATGGTTAGGACATTGGGCTGATTAACAATAAGCTCATGTTCAAAACCCCATTTGCCATGTGATGGGGTGACCTCCCATCATTCGCTCCAGCTCCTGTTGATCCAGCAGTTTGAAAGTGAGCAACTGCAAGTAGATAGATGGGTACCACTTCAGTGGGCAACTTAACAGAGACATGAAAGGAGCCTCCAATTAGGCATTCCCCAGAGGACAGTGATGTCACTGGCTAATCTCTCAACTAAGAAGTGCTTCAGTTCTGCTATATGATTCTAGTAGTAGTATTAAAGCAAAAGAGAAGACAACCCACAAGTAATGATTGGGAAGCAAAACAGAATGACTCTCCTAAGGATTCTGAATATCAATTTGTCCAAGACCAAACATTCTCTTCTTTCATTTATGAACAGACCCGTCCTTTATCATTATGCAATAAAAACTGCCCTTCTAGTTTTAGTAAATGGAAGATAGAAGATAAGCCCTTTTGCTGTTATCAGTGCCATCAGTGTCCACAGGGAAAGATCTCCAACAAGGAGGGTAAGAGCTGTTTCCTACCATTTGTCTTTTGCAGGTTCTTTTTTGACCATCAATAAGCAGATTGAAGGAGGGATGTGGTGGCTCAATAGCTAAGGCGCTGAGCTTATTAATTGAAAGGTTGGCTGTTCAGTGGTTCGAATCCCTAGTGCCATGTAATGGGGTGATCTCCCGTTACTTGTCCCAGCTTCTGCCAACCTAGCAGTTTGAAAGCACGTAAAAAATTCAAGTAGAAAAATAGGGACCACCTTTGGTGGGAAGGTAACAGCGTTCTGTGTGCCTTTGGCATTTAGTCATGCCAGCCACATGACCACGGAGATGTCTTCAGACAGCGCTGACTCTTCAGCTTTGAAACGGAGATGAGCACTGCCCCTAGAGTCAGGAACGACTAGCACATATGTGCAAGGAGAACCTTTACCTTTAAGCAGATTGATCCAGACTCCATAGACACAAATGGAAAGTTAGTTGGGTGCTTAATACCTGTTCTGTCAAAGTCTTTTCCTTTTCTTCATTTGTTTCTGCTTGTGTGTTTCTCTTTGAGCTTCTTGACCCTTCTCCTCTTCTGAATCTTCTCCCTTGTGCCAGTCTGAGAAAACAAATGTCCCCCTCTCCCAGGTTTCTCAGCTGCTGCCACCTGTCGGAGTGCGCACAATGTGACTATGTGAGACAACCCAGGAGCAAATACAGTAAACAAATGTTTGTAATTAAATAGTGGATTTATCTACAAAGAATATATACAAACACATACTTTAGTCAGACCTCAACAAACAGCAATCAGCAATTACAGCACGGAAGCACACATGGAGAGATAGATACGCCCCAACAGGGCCTCTTCTTATTAGAGGTTCTTAAAGTGATATCAGCCCAAAAACCTTGCTGACTCATTCCCAGTATTACATCATTGTAGTAGCTGGTCAGATATTAAATCATTACCCTGACACCACCTTTCCAATTGCTTCTCCTCAAAAGGGCTATCTATCTTGCCTTTTTTTACTTGGACTCCTGGGCTTTGGCTCTGTTTATTCTTCAAAAGGCCTATGGCTCTAAAGTCACTAGGCTGCCATCTTGCATTCCCTCCTCCTTCCAGTCTCCTTCCCGATAGTGCTGTTAGATTGGCAGTTGCTGTTGTTTGGCAACTGGGTTGACTTAATGATGAAGGTGGGTCAAGAAGGAAGGGGGAGGAAGGAAGGAGAACAAAGCCTTTTGATCTGCTCAAGCAGTTTGTCATTCCACTGGAGGGCAAGATAAGTTTTCCATTATTTCTCTTAAAACAAATTAGATAAATCTAACAGTATCATTGAAACATTTTGAACAGCTGCATTGGCAAACTGAGGTAAGGAAATGGAGATTTTATAATTTTATTGATTGTAAACATTTCAAACATCTAAAGCTCAGTTCAAATAATTTTGAACATCCAAGTTGACAGCAACTCTATTAATATATTTGATCTCCAGATATTAAATAGAAATTCTGTACTTGAATATTGAAACATATGAAAACAATTTTCATTGCAATTTCTAGACATGGATGACTGTTTTGATTGTCCAGAAGATCAATATCCAAATGAAAATCAGGACTACTGTCTCTCCAAAGTTATAACATTTTTAACCTATGAAGAAACCTTGGGGGCTATTTTAGCCAGTTCAGCTCTTTTCTTTTCTTGGGTCACAATTGGAATCCTTTGGATCTTTATTAAGCATCAGGGCACACCCATTGTCAAAGCCAACAATCAGAACCTCACATACACGCTCCTTGTTGCTCTTCTGTTATCATTTCTTTGCATTTTGCTATTCATTGGGCAACCCAACAAGATGACATGTGTCCTTCGCCAAACTGCCTTTGGTATCATTTTTTCAGTAGCCATTTCTTGTGTATTGGCCAAAACAATTACTGTGGTTCTGGCTTTCATGGCTACCAAGCCAGGGTCCAAAATGACCAAATGGGTGGGGAAAAGACTATCCATATTCATTGTATTGTATTGCTCATTTATTCAAGGAATTATTTGCACTATATGGCTAACGACTTCACCCCCATTCCCAGATACTGACATGAATTCAGTGGCAGAAGAAATAGTTCTGGTCTGTAATGAAGGATCCAATTCTATTTTCTACTGTGTCTTGGGTTTTTTGGGCTTCCTTGCCATTGTCAGCTTCATGGTAGCTTTCCTAGCAAGGAAATTGCCAGATACTTTCAATGAAGCCAAGTTCATAACCTTCAGCATGTTGGTCTTCTGCAGTGTTTGGCTATCCTTTGTTCCAACATATCTGAGTTCAAAGGGAAAATATATGGTTGCTGTGGAGATCTTCTCCATCATAGCCTCTAGTGCTGGGCTATTGATTTGCATCTTTGCCCCCAAATTTTACATCATTTTGTTGAGGCCTGATTTGAACAGAAAGGACCAGCTAAGAAGACCAAACAACAGAAAAATATAAATGATACTCTATTATTTTATTTTTTGTTGAATATGAGAAAGCAGCAGTACTCAAATCTATGTCACATACATCTTTGTGACCCACTGGTTAATTTTTTTACTGTCAGGAAGTTCCTCCTTAGTTCTGGATTGGATCTCTTGTTGATTAGTTTCCTACCATTGCTTCTTGTTCTGTCTTCTGGTGCTTTGGAGAATAAGCTGACTCCCTCTTCTTTGTGACAGTCCCAGAAAGAAAGAAAGAAAGAAAGAAAGAAAGAAAGAAAGAAAGAAAGAAAGAAAGAAAGAAAGAAAGAAAGAAAGAAAGAAAGAAAGAAAGAAAGAAAGAAAGATTTATTGGCCAAGTGTGATTGGACACACAAGGAATTTGTCTTTGGTACATATGCTCTCAGTGTAACAAAAAGAAAAGATATATTGAATATTGAAACTTCCATCATGTCATCCCTACTCCTTCTTTTTACTAGACTAGACCCAATTTCTGCAACTGTCCTTCATATGTTTTAACCTCTAGTCCCCATTGATGATAGCATTCCAGACTGCCCCCCTGTTCCTCCACTGTCTCCCAGAGTTTGCCCAAATTCATGTTCATTGCCTTCTCCTTTTGCCTTCCATCTTTCCCAACATCAGGTTTTTTTTTCTTCCAATGAAGTCACATACTACTTACTGATAAGTAATCTGTCCTGAATTTTCAAGGTTACTTCCCAGTTTACATACCCAACAACTATTACAGTTTTTTTTTTACTGAGTTCCATTTTTTATTTTTATTTTTTTTTAAAAAAAACAACAAACCTGAAATTGATATCTAGCTCTGTTGCTGCTCCAATATTTATTTTAAGCAAATATATGGCAAATGTAGATAAAATTTAAATAAAGCTTATATATACTAATAATTATATTGTTATGACTTCTGTGTAAATGTAGCATTCGGGTACTTTTGAAGAAAAGAAATATCTCCTGACTAGTTGATTCAATGAAGCAAGAAGTAGGGAACAGTTTCAAATACATTCAATTATTTATAATACTTAATATTTATAATATATAATTAATAATATGTATACACTTTCCTTTGTGAAATGTGAAATTCTGTAAGATAGAAATAAAGAAGGCAGATGAAGTGGCCACTTCAGAGTTTAAAAAAAAAATACGTGGGTTTGGAAGATAATTTGCCTTATTTTAATTGTATTTAATTATTTCTTTATTACATATAACACTGGAAGTGTACAGAAATCAGTGAAAAGAAAGAAAGAGAGAGTGAGTGTGTGTGAGAGAGAGAGAGAAAGAGAGAGGGAGAGAGAAGAAAACAACTAAAACAAAATAAATTAAATGGCTCCTAGTAGATAAACTCTTGAAAATTCTTTTTCTCCTTCTCCTCCTGGCCCAAACATCTGAGAAAAATGTTAGCCTGAAACTGCCTTTCTCAAGATTTGCAATGTCAGGGACAACAAAATGTTTCAAGGAAGAAACACTAAGTGAAACCTTCACATTATCCTGATATTATCCCTATCAGAGTCTGTTGAACAGGCTAATTCTCCTCCTAGTTGTCAAATGATATCTGAAGAAAAACATCAGGCCCTTTGATTTCTGTGCCAGCCATCTCACTAATACACAGTGTCAACTTTCAAAACGACTCTGGCTGAGGCATTTTCCCCATTTCTCAGTTGCCCCACAGATGGGGGGAGGAAGGGAGGTTTGCAATGCTATTATATGATCTGTGGGGGCACTCGCCCTCTGGAATGAGCTACCCCCAGGGATACGACTGATCCCGGACCTCCGAACTTTCCGCCGGGCTCTGAACACTTTTCTATTTCACCAAGCCGGGCTGGCTTAAAAATTTTAACTGGTTAATTTTATGGGTAAGGGGTTTTAAATTGGGGAAGCCAAATTAATTTAATCATGTTTTAAATTATTTTAATTTTCATACTGTATGTATTTTAATTTTGGCTGTTCACCGCCCTGAGTCCTTCGGGAGAAGGGCGGTATAATTTTTTTTAATAATAATAATAATAATAATAATAATAATAATAATAATATGCTAGTCATAACACAAGCAGAGGCTGCCAGAGCCAAGGTCATCTCAACCATTGCTGAGCAAGAGAGGAGGGGAGTGCCTGAAGAGTCTGTCGTTCACCGACTTCAGGGGTCTGCAACCTTAAACACTCAAAGAGCCATTTGGACCCATTTCCCACAGAAAACAAAACACCAGGAGCCACAAAACCTGGGTGGGCATGGCCAACTCGACATCACTCACTCCCACCCAGCCATGCCTATCCAGGGTTTGTGGCTCCCAGTATTTTCTTTTCTCTGGAAAACAAGTATCTCTATCTATGTGTGTGTATGTCTCTCTCTATCTGTCTCTCTGTCTCTCTGTTTCTCTCTCTCTCTCTCTCATCTCTCTCTCTTTCTCTCTTCCCCTCCTCTGTCTCTCTCTCTCCCATCTCTCTCTTTCACCTCTCTCTCTCTCTCTCTCTCTCTCTCTCTCTCTCTCTCTCTCTCTCTCTCATCTCTTTCCCTCATCTCTCTCTTTCTCTTTCTCTTTCTCTCTCTCTCATCTCTCTCCCTCATCTCTCTCTTTCTTTCTGTATTACTTGGCAACTTTACACACAGACTCTTGGCATTTTACAATGGAATAAAAGTTTAAAAGTGCAAAATCAATTAAAATAGAGTTTAAAAAAATTAAAATTACAAAATAAGCAGGAGGGCAGCCTGGAGGAGAAAATCTTCTCTATCCTATCAGCCAGTCAAAAAGAGGGCTGTGTAAATATCTACAGACCCCTTGCATCTTGGACAACTCCAACTCGCAAAACAATGTTACGGTGGTTCTCCTCCTTTCTCTCTGACCGGTCACAGTTTGTGTTGGTGGGGGAGGGGCAGAGGTTGACCCCGAGGTGCCTTATATGTGGGGTGCCACAGGGGTTGGTCCTCTCATCCCTTCTGTTCAACATTTATGTGAAGCCGCTGGGTGAGATCATCCGTGGTTTCGGGGTGAAGTACCATCAGTACGCTGATGATACTCAACTGTACATCTCCACCCTGGACCACCCCAATGATGCCCTTGAAGTGATGTCCTGGTGCCTGGAGCCATGCGGATCTGGATGGGGAGAAACAGGCTCAGGTTCAACCCATCCAAGACCGAGTGGCTGTGGTTTCCGGTGTCCCGATATAGTCAGTTAGCACCATCACTGACTATTGGGGGTGAGTCGTTGGCCCCCACGGAGGGGGCTCGCAACTTGGGTGTCCTCCTGGACTCACAGCTGTCTTTAGAAGAACACCTGATGGCTGTGGCCAGGAGGACTTTTCGTCAGGTCTTCCTGATTCACCAGTTGCGTCCCTTTCTGGATCGGGACTCATTACGCACGGTCACTCATTCCCTCGTATTTCCCGCCTGGACTACTGCAATGCTCTCTACATGGGGCTGCCCTTGAGGAGCACCCGGAGGCTCCAACTGGTGCAGAGTGCAGCCACGCAGGTGGTTATGGGAGCGACATGGTGTTCCCATGTAACACATCTCCTGTGTGAGCTGCACTGGCTCCCGGTGGTCTTCCGGATGCACTTCAAGTTTAGTTTATTTGATTTGTATACCGCCCTACTCCCGAAGGACTTTTGTACATAGATACAAAAAATTTAAAAACCAGATAAAATCAAATTAAATCATTTTGGCCCAGACAGATTAAAACACCCCGATAATTTAAAAACAGATTAAAATTTACATATTTAAAAAAGGGAAGAGATTAGGCCAAGCCCGCCTGATGGAATAAAAAGGTCTTCACAGCACGGCGGAAGGTGCGCAGATCCAGGATCCTCCGTATCTCCGGGGGGAGCTCATTCCAGACGGTAGGTGCCCCCACAGAGAAGGCTGTTCCCCTAGGGGCCGCCAGTCGACACTGTTTGGCTGACGGCACCCGGAGGAGTCCCTCTCTATGAGAGCGTACTGGCCGGTGGGAGGCTATTGGTGGTAGTAGGCGGTCCCGTAAATAACCAGGTCCTAAGCCATGGAGCGCTTTAAAGGTGGTAACCAAAACCTTGAAGCGCACCCGGAAGACCACTGGGAGCCAGTGCAGCTCGCGCAGGAGAGGTGTTACATGGGCGCGCCATGTCGCTCCCATTACCACCCGCGCGGCCGCACTCTGCACCAGTTGGAGCCTCCAGGTGCTCCTCAAGGGGAGCCTCATGTAGAGAGCATTGCAATAGTCCAGGCGGGAGGTGACAAGGGCATGAGTTACCGTGCGTAATGAGTCCCGATCCAGAAAGGGACGCAACTGGCGAATCAGGTGAACCTGATGAAAAATCCTCCCGGTCATGGCCGTCAAGTGCTCTTCTAAAGACAGCCGTGAATCCAGGAGGATGCCCAAGTTGCGAGCCCTCTCCATGGGGGCCAATGATTCGCCCCCAATAGTCAGTGGTGGTGTCAAGGTTTTGGTTACCACCTTTAGAGCACTCCATGGCTTAGGACCTGGATATTTACAGGACCGCCTGCTGCCACCAATAGCCTCTCACCGGCCAGTACGCTCTCATAGAGAGGGGCTCCTCAGGCTGCCGTCGGCCAAACAGTATCGGCTGGTGGCCCCCAGGGGGAGAACCTTCTCTGTGGGGGCACCTGTTATTTGGAATGAGCTCCCCCTGGAGATACGGAGGATCCCAGATTTACGCACCTTCCGCCACGCCCTCAAGACCTTTTTATTCCAACAGGCTGGCCTGACCTAACTTTCCCTTTTAAATGGTATATGAGAAATTTTAAATTTGTTTTTAAATATGGGGATGTTTTTTAATTCATCTCGGGCCAAATTGTTTAATACGTTTTTATACTGTTTTAAATTTTATAATCTGTGTGTTTTATCTTTTTGGCTGTTCACTGCCCTGAGTCCTTCGGAAGTAGGGTGGTATATAAATCTAATAAAATAAATAAAATAAATAAATGATTCTTGACTAATGTATCTTTTCTTTTATGTACACTGAGAGAGTATGCACCAAGACAAATTCCTTGTGTGTCCAATCACACTTGGTCAATAAAGAATTCTATTCTATTCTATTCTATTCTATTCTATTCTATTCTATTCTATTCTATTCTATTCTATTCTATTCTATCCCCAATGTAGCAGACCACTGTCAGTGCCCCAGGCCACGCAGCAGACCCAGGTTTTCAGATTCTTCCAGAAGACCAGGAGCATGGGGGGAAGATCTCACCACTGATGGGAAACTAATCCATAGGGCAGGGGCCATAGGCAGAAAATATTCTTCCCCTTAACCACATTAGCTGAAATTCTTTGACCAGTAGGATCTGAAGTAGGCCCTTTCTGTTGGAATATATTAATTCCAATGAATAGAATAGAATAGAATTTTTATTGGCCAAATTCCAAGACATGGAATTTGTCTTGGTCCACATGCTCTCAGTGTACATAAAACAAAAGATACATTTGTCAAGAGTCGTAAGGTTCAAGGCTCAATGATAGTCATAGGGTACAAATAAGCAATCAAATCATATTAGGAAACAGTTAATATAAATCGTAAGGATACAAACAGCAAAGTTACAGTCATACAGTCATAAGTGTATGGGTGATGGGAACGATGAGAAGATTAATAGTAGTACAGACTTAATGAATAGTTTGACAGTGTTGAGGGAAATATTTATTTAGCAGAGTGATGGTGTTTGGGAAAAAACTGTTCTTGTGTCTAGTTGTTCTGGTGTGCAGTACTCTATAGCGTCATTTTGAAGGTAGGAGTTGCAACAGTTTATGTCCAGGATGTAAGGATGAGGTAAGATGGTTCCTTAGATACTCTGTAGTATTTCTTAATATTTATTTATTATTGTAATTTCAAATTCGACCCAATCTCACCACTCTTTTTTGGTTTAAAACATTTCTAATGGAATCTTGCAATAAGCATGACTGACAAAAATAATAAAACATCTATAACAAAAACACATTGCAAAGCCACAAAGGCATCCAATGAGTTTCTCCTGATACATGACACTAATTTTTGTCCTGATAGCACCTGGCACAGTAGTTGCTTCAGGTTCTAACAAGATGGTTAGAAGGGGTAGGATTATAAGATAATTTTTACTGTTATTTTCTCCTTAAGTGCTTCCTGGAGTTCAGCTCAGGTTTCAGTACAAGAATATAAATTTTAGGAGAAAAGATGCAGAGCAATAAGCCAGCACTGGAGGTCAAGATGGAAAAAATCTCCACGGCCACCATATATTTGCCCTTTGTGCTTAGATAAGTTGGAACAAAGGACACCCAGACACTGCAGAAGACCAACATGCTGAAGGTGATAAACTTGGCTTCATTGAAACTGTCAGGCAGATTCCTGGCCAGGAAGGCCACTGTGAAGCTAATAATAGCCAAGAAGCCCAGAAAGCCCAGGACGATATAAAACATAGTGTCAGATCCTTCATTACATTCCAGGATAATTTCTTCCATCAGGGAGTGCTTGTCAACATCAGGAAAGGGGGGAGCAGTGACCAACCACACACTATAAATCAAGACTTGACTAAAGGAGCAAGAAAGAACAATGGAGCTGGCCAGGTGTTTGCTAGACCATTTTCTCATCCCACCTCCTGGTGTAGTTGCCATGAAGGCCAGGACCACAACAATAGTCTTGGCCAAAACAGAAGAAACAGCTATTGAGAAGATTATTCCAAAAGCTGTTTGTCGAAGGAGACACATAAGCTTTGTGGGCTGTCCAATAAAGAGCAAAGTGCAAAGGAAACAAAATAAAAGGGAAATAAGAAGAACGTAGCTGAGGTTCCGGTTGTTGGCTTTGACAATGGGAGTCTCCCGGTGCTTAATGAAGATATAAAGCACCAAAGCTGTGAGGAAAGAAAAGAAAAGGGCAAAAAGGGTGAGAGTGATTCCCAAAGGTTCTTCAAATGAGAGGAAGCTGGTATCTTTTGGAAGGCACCTATTCTGGCCTTTGTTGGGATACTGATCTTCTGGACACTGAAAACAGTCATCCAAGTCTGTTGAAACAAACAAGTGTACTATTTAATGCATTAGAACTATATGTATTAGAAGTGCATAATCAATGTATTACATATATAGAATAGAATAGAATAGAATAGAATAGAATAGAATAGAATAGAATAGAATAGAATAGAATAGAATAGAATAGAATAGAATAGAATAGAATTCTTTATTGGTCAAGTGTCAAAGAGCCTTGATAGTACAGTGGTATACGCACCCTGTTATTAACACAGCTGCCTGCAATTTCTGCTGGTTCGAATCTCTCCAAAGCTCAAGGTTGACTCAGCCTTCCATCCTTTCTAAGGTAGGTGAAATGAGGACCCAGTTTGTGGAGGCAATAAGCTGACTTTGTATAAAATATACAAAAGTATGAAGGCTATTGCTTAACGCATTGTAAGCCGCCTTGAGTCTCCGGAGAAGGGCGGCATATAAATCAAATTAAAAAAAAAAAGAGTGATTGGACACACAAGGAATCTCAGGTGTGAAAAGAAAAAGTGTCAATAAAGAGCAATAACACAGAACAGAACAGAACAGAACAGAACATCTAATCATGTTGGTTGTCACCAAATGCTGAAGTTCTTTCTTTTTTCAATCAAGTACCTAAAAACTTTGCTTTTGTTTTGTTTTTTCATCTCATTCCAAAAAGATACAGCCAATCCATTTTACACATTTCATAGTACTTTATCTAATATTTTTGTTTTGTGCTGCAAATATTGCAGGTTTTAACTGCCAAGATGTATAGAAAATGCAGGTGCCCTTTACTTAGAATAATGACAATAGGCACTTTTCTGAAACTGTGACCTAACAGAATAACAGAATAAAAGAGATGGAAGGGACCTTGGAGGACGTCTAGTCTAATCTCCTGCTCAAGCAGAAAACCCTATATTATTTCAGACAAATGTTTCTCCAATCTCTCTCTCTCCCTCTCCCTCTCCCTCTCTCCCTCTCCCTCTCCCTCTCCCTCTCCCCTCCCCCTCCCCCCCTCTCTCTTTCCTTTTTTTAAATCCAGTGTTGGAGCATCCACAATTTCTGGAGGCAAGTTGTTTTATTGATTAATTGTTCTAATTATCAAGAAATTGTTCTAATTATCAAGAAATTCCTCCTTAGTTCTAGGTTGTTTCTCTCCTTGATTAGTTTCCATCCATTGCTTCTTATCCTATCTTCAGGTGCTTTGGAGAATAGGCTGATCCCTCTTTTTTTGTGGCAGCCCTTTAGGCATTGGAACACTACTATCATATCACTCCTAGCCCTTCTTTTCATTAAACTAGACATACAGAATTCCTGCAACTGTACTTCATATGTTTTAGCCTCCAGTCCCCTAATAATCTTTGCTGATCTTTGCAGTCTTTCTAGAATCATCTTTTTTTATAATATGGTGACCAAAACTGGATGCAGTATTCCAAGTGTGGAGTTACCAAAGCATCATAAAGTGGTATTAACACTTCATGTGACCTTGATTCTGTCCCTCTGTAATTGTAGCCTAGGACTGCATTGGCTTTTTTGGCAGCTGCAGCACACTGGTGGCTCATATTTAAATGATTGTCCACTAATACTCCAAGATCCCTCTCACAGTTACTACTATTGAGCCAGATACTACCTATTCTTGAGCCAGGTACCACCTACTGAGAGACACCTCAGGTTTGGTACTTAAGATATCAAAGATACCTTACTTCTTTGTTTCAGATCTCTGATGCAAGTATGTCTATGGAGATTCTCAATCATCCAGATCATCGTTGTCCCCAAACTGCTTCTAAGAGGCAACTGGACTTTCTTGTTTGTTTGTTTTTTCTTTTGAAATATTTCACTTCTCATCCAAGAAACTGTTTCAGTTCTAACTTCAGGATGCAAAATGAAACTTTTTCAAAAGGAAAAGAAAATCCAAGAAAGTGCTGGTATCTTTTCAAAAAAATGCCTTTGGGACATCTACTAAAAGAATCCAATTTTGGGTCATCACATTACTGTTTTGTGTGGGTTTTTGTCTTTTACCCTTAAGGTAAAGGTTCCCTTTTCACATATGTCCTAGTCATTCCCGACTCTAGGGGGTGGTGCTCATCTCCGTTTCAAAGCCGAAGAGCCAGCACTGTCCGAAAACATCTTTGTGGTCCTGTGGCCGGTATGACTAAATGCCAAAGGTGCACAGAACGTTGTTACCTTCCCACCAGAGGTGGTCCTTATTTTTCTACTTGAATTTTTTATGTGTTTTCAAACTGCTAGGTTGGCAGAACCTGGGACAAGTAACGGGAGCTCACCCTGTTACGTGGCACTAGGGATTCGAACCACTGAACTGCTGACCTTTCGATTAACAAGCTCGGCGTCTTAGCCACTGAGCCACCATGTCCTTTTTACCCTTTTACCCTTATCCATACCTAAACGGATAAAAATAGTATGAGAAAAATATGGAAAAAGTGAAAAGAATGCAAGACCTATACTCAGCTGTACATCTCCACCCCGGACCACCCCAACGATGCCCTTGAAGTGATGTCCCGGTGCCTGGAGGCCGTGCGGATCTGGATAGGAAGAAACAGGCTCAGGCTCAACCCATCGAAGACCGAGTGGCTGTGGTTTACGACGTCCCGATATAGTCAGTTGGTGCCATCACTGACTATTGGGGGCGAATCGCTGGCCCCCACAGAGAGGGCTCGCAACTTGGGCGTCCTCCTGGATTCACGGCTGTCTTTAGAAGACCATCTGACGGCCGTGACCGGGAGGATTTTACATCAGGTTCGCCTGATTCGCCAGTTGCATCCCTTTCTGGATCGGGACTTGTTACGCACGGTCACTCATGCCCTCGTCACTTCCCACCTGGACTACTGCAATGCTCTCTACATGGGGCTCCCCTTGAGGAGCACCCGGAGGCTCCAACTGCGCAGAGTGCGGCCACGCGGGTGGTTATGGGAGCGACATGGCGTTCCCATGTAACACCTCTCCTGCGCAAGCTGCACTGGCTCCTGGTGGTCTTCCGTGTGCGCTTCAAGGTCTTGCTTACCACCTTTAGAGCGCTCCATGGCTTAGGACCTGGTTATCTACGAGACCGCCTGCTGCCACCAGTAGCCTCCCACCAGCCGGTACGCTGTCATAGAGAGGGGCTCCTCTGGGTGCCGTCGGCCAAACAATGTTGACTGGTGGCCCCCAGGGGGAGAGCCTTCTCTGTGGGGGCACCTACTATCTGGAATGAGCTTCCCCGGAGATACAGAGGATCCCAGATCTACGCACCTTCCGCCGCGTTCTTAAAACCTTTTTATTCCATCAGGCGGGCCTGGCCTAATTTTTTCCCTTTTCCCTTTTAAAACACAAATTTTAATTTGTTTTTAATTTATTGGGGTGTTTTTAATCTGTCTTTAGCCAAATTGTTTAATTCGGTTTTATTTGTTTTTAAATTTTGTATTTATGTGTTTTTATCTTGTGGCTGTTCACCGCCCTGAGTCCTTCGGGTGTAGGACGGTATACAAATCAATCAATCAAACAAACAAACAAACAAACAAACAAACAAACAAACAAACCTATATATTGTTTTTCGAACTAATTCTTCCAAAGCAGTCTTAAATCATCCTTTTTAATGACTCTTCAATAAATTTGGGATAAGATTAAGCTCACAAGCAGGGTATTAATACATTTTTCTACAGTAAATCTTACTCTTTGGATGAGAAATCTTTCCTTCTGGGCATCGATGGCATTTGTAGCAGCAAAATGGTTTCCCTTCAATCCTTTTCCTGCTGTATCCAGAATTGCAATGGGAATTACATAGAGAAATGGGAAGTTCCTATCAGGAAACAAGAAATTACTTCTAAGACATGTTTACCTCTAGGTTATTCCCAGGTAGATTTTAGATGATGTTCTTGAAAAGAGTTGTACAATGAAAGAAATTCAAACATCACACTTGTTTAAAACCCACAAGGAAGCTAGATATTTTCCCAGAAGAAATTCATTTGCTTCAAAGAAGTACCCAGAAATGTGACACTTTGTTTTCCTTTATATCAATATATTAGCAGAAACCTCAGTTAAATAGAAAATAAAGACTGCTTTTGGTTGACATTTCACTGAATTGTGCAATAATACACTAAAGTGATTTGACAGATTTAGCAGGGAGTTGCATCTAGCTATTACTGTATTTTTCGGAGTATAACACACACCTTTTTCCCCCCTAAAAGAGGCTGAAAAATTGGGTGTGTCTTATATTCTGAATGTAGCCCTGTCCAGCCACCAGCCCCCATCCTTCGGCCTCCGCACATCCTCTTCCTGGCTGCAGAGATTGCCATAGAAAATGGCTTGCATTTTTGGGCTCTGTGTCTTGTGTTTTAAGCCTCAAAAGACTCCATTTGAGAGCTGTTCAAGGTTGAAGGGATGTCCAAAGCACATCACTGCCAATCACTGCCTCTGCACATCATGTTTTCAGCCTCTGCGCATCACTATTTAGGCCTCTGCATGCTCTATTTTTGGCCTCTGTGCAGCGTGTTTTCAGGCGGTGATCAGCGGCGATGTGCTTTAGCAATCCCCACAGTCTTGAATGGCTCTTTGATAATTTTTTCCCCTGTTTTCCTCCCCCAAAACTAGTGTGCATCTTATACTCCGGTGCATCTTATACTCTGAAAAATATAGTAATTCTGTTCTGTCTCCAGTTCCCTAGTCATCTGTGTTGCTCTTCTCTGCACTCTTTCTACTGTATGTTGTAGGCAAGTTGTGTAATCCACAAATTGAATGAAGAACGTGAAAAGGACTTTTTTTAATGGTGGAATGGAAAGCAACGAATCATGTAACATCCATAAATTCATGGTGGGAAAATGATTTAGATAATTTAGTATGAGCTCTACCTGGTTAAATGCCTTAGGCCACTGGATCACATCTTCAGAAATGGTGAATACTTTACCAGGGACATTCTGTGGTGTCACTCTCCCAACTTTGACTCTAACAAACGATTTATTTGGAAATGTGATCCAGTTGATAATATCAAATCCTGCTATTAATTCGTCTTTAGAGCTAAAGGAAAGCATTTCGCCAACAGTGTTGTTAAATGAAACACTTCTCAAGAAATGATGAAGCTAGATGAAAATGACAGCAACAAATCATCAACCTCTTCCTTAGCATTATATTAAATAAATACAGTAATAATCAAATTGAATCTTAAAGGCATTCCTTATGTTAAAAAAAAATCTTCTGTACAAATTTTAAAAAGTCAATTTCAATTCATTTTAGCCAGGTTTCTTTTGGTGATTCAACTGCTGTTGACCTAAATAATATTATTTTTTAAAAATAGTCATTATAGCACTGGATTATATACAGGGGTGAAATTCAGCAGGTTCTGACAGGTTCTGGCGAATCAGTAGCGGAAATTTTGAGTAGTTTGGATACCACCTCTGGCTGGCCCCAGAGTGGGTTGGGAATGGAGATTTTGCAATATCCTTCCCCCAGGAGTGGGGAGGGAATATGGATTTTGCAGTATCCTTCCCCTGGAGTGGGGCGGGAATGGAGATTTTGCAGTATCCTTCCCCTGCTGCGCCCATCAAGCCACGTCTACCAAGCTACATCACGCCCACCAAGCCATGCCCACAGGTAGTAAAAAAAATTTGAATTCCACCACTGATTGTACGGTTGGCGGGGTTGGGGGTAGGGGGCACTGTTCTGCGGTGGTTCTCCTCCTACCTCTCTGACCGGTCGCAATCTGTGTTGACGGGGGGGCAGCGGTCGACCCCGAGGCACCTTGCTTGTGGGGTGCCACAAGGGTCGGTCCTCTCGCCCCTTCTGTTCAACATTTATGTAAAGCCGCTGGGTGAGATCATCCGTGGCTTCGGGGTGGAGTTCCATCAGTACGCTGATGACACCCAGCTGTACATCTCCACCCCAGGCCACCCCAACGATGCCCTTGAAGTGATGTCCCAGTGCCTGGAGGCCGTGCGGGTCTGGATGGGGAGAAACAGGCTCCGACTCAACCCTCCAAGACCGAGTGGCTGTGGCTTCCAGCGTCCCAATATAGCCAGCTGACGCCATCGCTGGCTATTGGGGGCGAATCACTCGCCCCCACGGAGAGGGCTCGTAACTTGGGCATCCTCCTGGACGCATGGCTGTCTTTAGAAGACCATTTGACGGCCGTGGCCAGGGGGGCTTTTTATCAGGTTCGCCTGATACGCCAGTTGCGTCCCTTTCTAGATCGGGATTCTCTACGCACAGTCACTCAGGCCCTAGTCACTTCCCGCCTGGACTACTGCAACACTCTCTACATGGGGCTCCCCCTGGGGTGCACCCGGAGGCTCCAGCTGGTCCAGAATGCGGCCATGCGGGGGATTATGGGGGCGACGAGGCGCTCCCATGTGACACCTCTCCTGCGCGAGCTGCACTGGCTCCCGGTGGTCTTCCGGGTGCGCTTCAAGGTGTTGGTGACCACCTTTAAAGCGCTCCATGGCTTAGGGCCGGGGTACTTACGAGACCACCTTCTGCCACCAATAGCCTCCCACCGGCCAGTACGCTCGCACAGAGTGGGCCTCCTTCTGTGCATCCACATGTCAGGCACTAGATCCATGAATCATCTCCAAACCTGGGAGCTGTTGACTCTCCATCTGAGGGCTGATGGGTGGCCCAAGCTCTGCCTCTCTCTCTCTCTGCCAGCTACTTTCCCTCTTCCCCCTCGGAGCTCTCAGGTTGCCTTGATACTGACCCTGACTCCCACGCCTCCTCCTCCTCCTCTGATTTGGCTGCTGGAGGGGCCGGTGGCTGATGGGCCACAACAGTAGACTTCTTTTCTTCACTTTTTTGATTGTTGGGATTTTTATGTGGTTTATAAAAAGGGACACAGTGGCTCAGTGGCTAAGATGCTGAGCTTGTCGATCGAAAGGTCGGCAGTTCAGCGGTTCGAATTCCTAGTGCCGTGTAACGGAGTGACCTCCCATTACTTGTCTCAGCTTCTGCCAACCTAGCAGTTTGAAAGCACGTAAAAAAGGCAAGTAGAAAAATAGGGACCACCTTTGGTGGGAAGCTAACAGCGTTCCATCCGCCTTCGGCATTGAGTCATGCCGGCCACATGACCACGGAGACGTCTTTGGACAGTGCTGGCTCTTTGGCTTTGAAACGGAGATGGGCACTGCCCCCTAGAATCGTGAACAACTAGTACATATGTGCGAGTGGAACTTTTACCTTTATAGTGTATATTTTAGATTATTATTATAAATGAAATTAGAGTTATACTTACACCTACAGTATGTATTTTATTATTATTATATGTGAAGTACAAACCATTTACTAGGTTAGAATTATTAAAATAAATAAATTGAAAAAGGATGAACTGTATAATATCTGAGTGAAATATTATGCTAGCTGAAAATTAATTTCCAGCTGACATCTTAAGTTCGAAGTCAACCCATTTAAATTTCAGGGAAGCTGGTAGAATGTATCTTTGTATAGCACCTCAACACTTTTTTTTTTATTGAAAAAGTTTTCAAATACAAATTCCCCCCCCTTTTTTTTCCCCCTCTCCCTCCCCCTCCCTAACCCCCCTCCCCACCCATCCCCCCTGTGACTTCTTCATAACAAAAAAAAAACCTAATTCATAACAGCTTACTTACTCCCTCCTCTAGATATTGACCTTTACTTACTAAAAATATTATTAATATTATAATTATAACATCCCCCTTTATCCATACATTTCAGAAAAGAGAAAAGAAAGGAAAAAAAAAAGACATTATACTATGACTTTATAGAATAACTTCTCCACTTTAAAACTATACGATAAGTCCTACTTTAACATTTAATCTTCTATATATATTACTATAACATTTTAAAGCGGCCTTCCCCATAAAATCTAGTTTAACATTTATTCCACTCTATCCATTTCCTCCACTCCCCTAAATATATCACTTAAAAATCCCTTTTCTTAGACTAATCAATCTACTAACTAGCTTATTTACCCACTATCATGCAAAATTACCATACACAATATTTCTTAATATCTTTGATTCACTGCCCACACTACTTAAAAATATATGTCTATATTTTCCATTATATCTAAATAAAAAAAAATGACTTTAAATTTATAATCCATATAGTATCTTCTTTGAGGTCTTTCCACTGGATTGGTACCAACATCCATAATCGGGTAACATAGTTTGCTGGTGCAACAGTTTATTCAGGATCTTCAATCATATCTGCCCCCATCAGTAGTAAATATCTTCTTATATGTATAAAAGTAAAAACAACCACCCGAGTGACATTATAATTATATTCCATATAGTAATAATTGTGGGTTTCATCAGGATTATTGATTCCCATCATCGTAGTGGGTAACAACCCGATCTTCTGCATGCCCCAGCATAATTCTCTTGCCTTGTGATTCAAGATAATATAATATGTTTATCAACACAAAAAGAAATTCCACCTCAACACTTCTTATCTAGAATTAGAATAACAGAGCTGGAAGAGACCTTGGAGGTCTTCTAGTCCAATCCCCTGCTTGGGCAGGAAACCTTACACCACTTCAGACAAATGGTTATCCAACATCTTCTTAAAAATTTCCAGTGTTGGAGCATTCACAACTTCTAGAGGCAAGTTGTTCCACTGATTAATTCTAACTGTCAGGAAATTTCTCCTTAGTTCTAAGTTGCTTCTCTCCTTGATTAGTTTCCATCCATTGCTTCTTGTCCTACATGAGGTGCTTTGGAGAATAGCTTGACTCCCTCTTCTTTGTGGCAGCCCCTGAGATATTGGAAGACTGCTATAATGTTTCCCCTAGTCCTTCTTTTCATTAAACTAGCCCTGCCCATTTCCTGCGACCAAAACTGAATGCAGTATTCCAAGTGTGGCCTTACCAAGGCATCTACATATATCTATGGTTGCCATGAGTTCTTTTCAAAAATTCCCTGGAGAGTTAGGGTTTTTCTTAGATCAGGGGTGTCAAACTCGCATAGTCACAGCGTCATCATGTGACATATCGTGACTTTTTTCCCCTTCGTTAAACCGTGCATGGGTGTGGCCAGCATGTGACCCATCCAGCTCACAGGCCGCAAGTTTGACACCCCTGCCTTAGTTTGTAAAAAGACTTTTCCAATTGGTCTTTCTAACATGTTTTAAGTCTTAAATTTAATTATAAATTATAAAACACACATACTTTAGTTTTCATTATTTTATTTACTCATACAATTGTTTTAATAGCAATCTGAAACTTGTTTTTTTTTTGTTTTTTTTTTACTGGAAACAGCTAATAAACTTCAATGCTTAGTAGGACAAGATGCTAATGATTATAATAAAATAAACAAGAGCTCCCCAAGCTTTCCGGCTTTGAGCAGGAGGGAGAAAGGATGGTTCCATGTGAGCAACTCCCAAGTGCACACAGATATGCAGGTCGAATGGAGCGTGCACATAGCCGCTCACCCACTTATTGTGCAATTGGGCATTTGCACACATGAATGCACACACCGCTTCTGCACTCCAGTTTGGAATAGCTGATTGCCCAGTTGTAGGCCACAGCCTGGGGGCTGGAGACTCCACAAATAAGCTTCTCTTTGGCTATCCCTTTTGTCTTCTTAGCTGTTCCTTATTATTCAGTTCAGGCCTCACAACAATGATATAACATTTAGGAGAAAAGATGCAGAGCAATAAACCAGCACTGGAGGCCAAGATGGAAAAAATCTCCACGGCCACCATGTATTTGCCCTTTGTGCTTAAATAAGTTGGAACAAAGGACACCCAGACACTGCAGAAGACCAACATGCTGAAGGTGATAAACTTGGCTTCATTGAAACTGTCAGGCAAGTTCCTGGCCAGGAAGGCCACCGTGAAACTGATGGTAGCCAGGAACCCCAGAAATCCCAAGACAACGTAAAACAAGGTGATAGAGCCTTCTTTACATTCCAGGATAATTTCTTCAATCAGGGAGTGCATGTCAACATCTGGAAAGGGAGGAGTAGTTACCAACCACACAGTGAAAATCAAAGCTTGAATAAAAGAGCAGGAGAGGACGATGGAGCTGGCCATTTGTTTTCCAAACCATTTCCTCATCCCACCACCT